GATGGGATCAGCTTGGTATCATGTATTATGAGTTGCTCAAACCGAATGAGACCATTACTGGGGCTCTCTACCGAACACAATTGATGAGATTGAGCTGAGCACTCAAGGAAAAACGCGCCCACTACTACTCCAGGTATGACAAAATTATTCTCCTGCATGATAATGCTTGACCACATGACATTGCTCCTTCCGACTACCACTTGTTCCAATCGATGGCCTGTCTGAGCAGCACTTCACATCATATGAAGATACCAAAAATTGTATCGATGATTGGATAGCCTCAAAAAATGAAGCGTTCTTCCGAATCCACATGCTACCAGAAAGATGGGAAAAAGTAGTGGCCATAGCGATGGCCATTACTTTGAATAAAACATTATGTACCATTCTTTCACAATAAATGCTTAATTTTTGATAAAAAACGGCGGAAACTTATTTATTCCCAATATTTTACTTCTAATCAAAGAGAAACAAAAGAACATAACTTGTACACTAATTATTTTTACGCTATAAATTACTTTTTTGAATTTAGTTGGATTAAAACGAAAAATTTTCTACTTATAATTTTGAATAATTTAAACAGTATTTATGGTTTTTTTTAAATAAATTTTTAAAAAAGTACAGTATTTCAATTATGATTAAAATACAGTATGTAATATTTCGTTTTTTAATATATGATTTTATTTATTATAGACTCTTACATGTCTTATTATTATATTTATTTCGTAAATAAAAACCTTTTAATTAGATTGAAAACTGCGTTTCATATTCATAATATTGAATTGTGAATGAATATTGAATATTGAATATTGAATGAGCACAGTATTCACATTGCACAGAAATTGCTGATATTATTTTTTATTTTAACTGATTTTTTATTTTAACTGAATTAAAAAAACTGTATTTCCTATTCACAATTCTGAATTAAGTTGTATTCACGATGCACAGAAAATGCTAATATTATTTTTAGATTGAATGGCGTAGAGATATGCTCTATGTAATTCCTATAAATGCATTCAGAATTGAAAAGGCATAGACATTTGCTTTATGCAATTCCTATAAGTGAATAAAAATGCATTCAGGATTGAAAAGAATTCATTTTAACATTCATGAATCCATATATTTCTGAAAATCTAAATCAATTTTAATCCATTTCAATCCATTCTCGTTTGCTAGAAAAGGCTACGAGTCAATTAAAATTAATAACATTCAATATATTTAAAACTAGATTAGTAAGAAGTACAAACGTTTCGACACCGATCGGATCATTCTTAATGTTAGAATAATAATTAACAATATTACAATATATAAAAATCAGATTCTCATAATACAAAAACAGTGTTCTTTACGTTATAAAATAGATATAAGAAATATAGATACGTATCAAATGCTTATGTCTTCCTTTTTTGTTACGAATATGTGATCCATTAAGATATTAAAAGTGAGATGTTGAAATGGTTCAATATAATCGGGAAACTCTAATACTTGCATTTTTCTTCAATGAAAATCAATTTATTTAAATAAAAATTTTCAAAGAAATCAGTTGTTAAGTTACGAATACAATTAATAAATAATTACAGAGTATAAAAGAAACCACCAATAATAATTAAGTAGATAATAAAAGTAGACAAATAGAAGAAAAAATTATTAAAAACGTATAATACATAGAAAAACCGTTAGAGTTATGTTAATATCAATTGAAGATTAAAAATGAACAAGTCAATAAATCAGTGCGTATTAAAATACAAAACTATAAATACCTTCTTTAGTTGAACTGTTGTAGGTCAAAAATTAAAAGAGTAATGCAATAGATATATGGATGAATATCATTTTAGTGGTTCCATCAGAGAGAATTAATGATATTTTGAAAATTTTTAACTCTTTACACATTAGATTGCAATTTACTATGAAGGTTGACATTGATGGCTTGAGATTCAGTTTTTTGGACATTATGTTATTAGTTGAAAAACAGAGCCTTGTTTTGACGGCAAGACAACTTTTTCGACAGATATAAATTCTAACACATAGCATCCGCTTTATCATAAGAGAAGTGTAATTTACGGGTTTGTGAATAAATAATACGTTTATGTCATCCTTGTTTCTAGTAAACCAATCTAATTAATGCTATTAATCTTTTTTTAAAAGTAGATATCCACTACATTTATCTACTTTATATTTTCCTTTATACGAAAAAGAATTCATTTTTATATGGATAATACTAACAGAACTGTTAACAAAAAAATTCAGGAGAAGTTTTCACCATTCCTTATGTGAAATCCATATCTGAAAAATTCTCTCCAATTATTAATATGTTCAACTGTAAATTCTATTCTGAATATTCGCCTTATTCGCTTAAAAATTTCATAAAAAAAAGAAAGGATTGGATTATGCAATTAAAACGTAATCTACAAGATCTCTTGTGATAATTGCGATACGTTACGTGGGTCGAACAAAAAGATAATTAAAGACAAGATTACAGAAACATGCTTCCGATATTAATAGAAAGACTAAATCGCCAGCGGCGATTTCCAACCATCGCATGTCACATCATAATTACAATTTTAAGTGGGATAACGGTGAAATTTTGGATATTGAATTCTCTTACAACAAGAGATTAATATCGGAAATGGTCTAGGTATATAAAAAAGACGTGAGATTAATAAGCAAAATGATATGGAATCTCTGCGGAAACATCTTAATATCTCTTTCTTTCATACATTTCCTTTCCCCTTCCTAATACTTCTCTCCTTCTCCCTTCCATATTGTTACCTCCGCATCTCCTTTTTAACTCATAACATTGTCAGATATTCTCGATGCTACACGTTTCTCTGTTCTAATAGCACAATGGTTTATAAAATTTCTGTATTGCAATTTCCTCCAAATCTTGAATCACATCAGCAATGATTGAGGACAAAAGTGACTCCCCATAGGAGTCCCAAAGATTTGTTTGTAAATTTTTTGTTAAACATAACAAAAATGGAATTTAACACCAAATGAATAGCAATCAGAAATTCTTCCAAAGAGATTTTAATTTTCTTGGATATGCATTCCCATCTCTTAATGATACTATCAGATGCAAGCTCGACAGCTAAATTTAATTGCTCAATTCACCACAAATATTATACATATCGCTGGACAGGAGAAGTTCTGGACAGGAGTCGTTCCTGAGTCATTATCACGCATCAATATTATCCAAGTGCCTATAATAATTATTACGGAAGAACTGTCCACGGAACAGGTGAAAGATGAAGAGCTTCAAGAATTTTTGAAAGACGAATCAGATTTAGAATTAAAAGAATTCACGTTATCAGGCTCAACCACTTTACTGCAACTGCTCAAAAGGCACGATACGACCTTACGTCCCAGGAACTCTGAGGAGACGAATCTTCGACGCCGTGGAATGGCACACCTCAGCGGCAGAGCCATCAAACATCAAATCGGACAAAAATTCGTTGGGAATCAATAGAGACATCACTCATTGGGCACATGCCTTCACCGTAACGGCACATCAGAAACATATCCAAGAAGATTCCAATGCCAGCATTTCTATCAAATCTATCTGGATTTCATCGCTCTCTTTCGGAGATAGGATATAGGTATTTAACTATGATTGACCGCTTTTCCAGACGGCCTGAAGCCATTCCAACATGGCCACGCAGTTGCTGTAGCATTCATTGACGGATAGCACGTTTTGGCACATCTGCCGTTATCACTACTGATCAAGGCAAACAATTCGAGGCTTTTCTAAGCGAAATTCCTGGGCAATAAGAAGATCAGAAAACCGTCTCCTTATCATCCAGAGTCAAACGGTCTGATTGAGAGATGGCATCGCACTCTTAAAATTTTTATAACCTGCCACGAAGATAAAAGACAATGGCTCGATCTATGCCTACAGTCTACTGCTGGGTCTTCGCACATGCGAAGAAGATTTGAAATCCTCTTCAGCGGAGTCTACGACGCACCGCTGAGAGAGTTATTAGAAAACGAAGATCCTACAGAAAACATGGAAACCTTCGTCATGACACTTCGTAATTGCCGCATACGGCAATACCGTCCACAATCAACACATCACCATGGGAAACGGACAGCAGCGCCTGGAACAGGCCACACACGTTTCATCAGAGAAGATCCGAAAATCACTCCTTATACCACACGAAGTAATATGTAGGGAGAACTCATTCTCCCTACATATTACTTCATTCATTTAGAAACATGTTTACGTGATCCACATGAATGACCGTGACGTAGTCCTATCGACAGAAAGGCTGAAGTCTGTTTTCTTACCCAATGCAGAAGAAGTACCTGAATTGCCACAAGAAGAATCGACAGAAAACATGGCTGTGGCACACGATACATCAAAGAAAATATATGATAAACCTAAGAAGGTACAATTCGCCTATTCATCTATAGACTCTCGGAGGGCAGTATATGTGGAGACACGTTCACACTTACACACACACACACACACACACACACACACACACACACACACACACACACA